GGGGGGGGGGGGGGGGGGAAGGGACAGTCTGTGCGCAGACTAGTGAAAGATGGAATTCTCCATTCCACTCGCCCGTTGACTCGTGAATGCAAAATTCCATCTTTGACCCTTGCACTCATAAACATTCATTATTAATACGCAGTGGAGGTTAACTACGCGGCTATTCTAGCTATTCCTTACTCTAACACAAACCATAACCCTACTATAGTTTTAATACCATCTAACTATTTTAAACTACTATATTAACTTAATTCAATGAGGTCATACCAGTATAACTTCTTCAAGACTGCCTAGTGTTTAAAACAGTTTTAAACTCATTAGCAGAGGTGTTAGAAACTACACTTTTCAAGTTATGCAGGGAAAAATTTCCTCATACTCTGCCAAGATATGATGGTCTGAACGTGAACTTCAAAGCCACAAAATAGAAGACCTTTGTTTGATGTTGAACTGCATCTCACCGTGAGCGAATTCATTGTCTCAACTTTATTAAATATTATTGTACGTGGTTGTACGTTTCACCTCAACTATCCCGATTTCTTAATTATTACACAAATTGACATAAACTCAGACAAACCCCGCAGTGATTGGCTCACGCTGTTGCCTATAGTCATGTATATTATTCTTGTTCATGTTATAGTATTGTGTATTGTAATATGGCAAAACTAATAAATAAATAAAATAAATAAATAAATTACTTAGGTCCCAAACCATCATATTTGACAGACAATAATTTGCTTGATAGAAGAAACAATATAACTTATTAAACACCTAACGATTGAATTTGTACAGAATTTAACAGTTTTAAGAGTGTCCTCTAGTTAAAAACTTTATGTACAATTCAAACATTACTCATTGAATTCAAAAAGATGATCTATCCAGGTCTAGCATTCAGATCAATGTTACCTGTTGTTGAAAAAGTCGCGCGAATGAAATACATTAGGTAGATTAAGTACTAATATAGTAAGTCATTAATTTCTAAATTACTCTTTCTTATCCCATTGACAAATTAAATTATCTGGCATTAGACAGATATAGTTAATAATTTTAATTCTTTTGTTTTGTGTTTCACTTTTTGTAATATGATATAGTTTTAAAAGGGTCGAATTGTTAATAACTGAAAAAGATGTTATAAAATTCTTTGAATATTCATCCAGTCCGGTGGCGAGCATTGCAAAGAGCTCGAACTAGTAAAAATATTGAGAACTAGTTGTCTAGTTCCATTCTCACGACTTTATTTTCAGACCGGGCACGGAACATTATACTGCCAAAACAATGTCAAAACAATAACGCGGGATGAAATGTTCTCATACATATAAACACAAGGCAAATTCATCCTGTTCACTGGGAAGTCTTGTTAAGCGGGTCATATACAGTCGGCATTTACAAAATGAGTGGATTTGAAATCCTCTATAAACACCAGAAATGAAAGAGCAAGTAAAATTAGTTAAGGTAAAAAAATTTGGAGTCTCTATTTTGAAAACTGAGGAACTGGCACTATTGGTAAAAACAATATCAGCTTACAATGTCTATTAGAATTTGCATGAATAATTATTTGCATAGGATCGAGGCTTCATGGGACAGTTCGATACAAACTCCCATATATTCCGTATTAAATAATCTGATTTTAGAAACCAGGTCACAGTTTTACTGGTGCAAACGCCTTAAAATTTAAAATTTATTTTTCAGCGAAAAAGTTTCATTTAAAGCTCATCTCTTAAACCTTGATCTCCTTGGTCTTCATCATAATTGTTGTAACTATGATCACCAGCATCATCACCACTATGATCATCAATATTATCATTCTGATCATCATCATTATCGTCGTCATGATCATCAGCATTATCACCTTCATTATTGTCGTCATCATCCAGTCCTGCTTTCTTCCTGTACTCCACATATGGTTTGAGAATTGTATCAAGATTTTGTTCCACTTCATCTGTTGTTGCCATGTTCTCATTTTTAGACATGAACCCTTTGAATAGCTAGAGAAATCATTAAACAAATTTTACACTATAGAGTGTTTATTATTACACAGCTCATTATTACTAGGAATGGAATGTTACATCTAAGAGATGAATTTCAAGATAAAGGTAATTGAAAGCAATTAACTGGTAGAATCATGGTTATCATTGTGTAAAAGAAGAGGTCATCAAACCTATTAATATTCAACACAACTAATGCATGATTTCAATAGTCCTTTGGGTGAACAACTCTTTATTTTAAACATCCATAACATTGGTTGTACAAAGCATTTTAGTGGAGTAGTTTTCAGAGCAAGCGCCTTTCACCTCTGAGTTCGTGGGCTCGATTCTCGCTACAGACTCGTGTGAAACAAGTCAGTCAACGCTCTGCCGCAAGTAGTGGGTTTTCTCCGGATGCGTTTTTTCCCACAGGGAAGGTGGACAGGGTATTTCAGGATTTACAGAGTTACGAAAGTAATCTATCAATTATTGTAAATATAAAATAGTTTAGGCTAAGTAACTATATATGTATTTAGGTAAGCGTAATACTTGATGTAAAGCGTTTGATCATAATCAATCGTAAACCTTTTAGTTATCTTAGTGTCAAACTTCATATCTCTTGAAATGAATTTTCGGTTCGAGACTATGAAGTAGCTGCACAAAAAGCTCGAACATATATAGTCATTACATTTTTGGGACATTTCATTGGGATCTTTCAATGTGATAGATCGGACCAATATCTTATACTACTTTATAAACTTCGTGTTTGAGGCCAATTGTTCATACGTTTACGTTGTAAAAATGCTGTTGTAAAAAAACTTTACCTGGACAGCAAATGTTTCGGTTCCACCAAGATGCTTTACAAAAGAAAATTTAGAGGAAAAAATTGAAGATCAAACTTACTTTTAAGTACTGAAATGTATTTGTTTATAATGTGGTTTATTCAAGGTGTGGTTAAATTGACAGAAGCTAATGGTGATACAACAGTATATGGTGGAATAATCAGTCAATGGTGGGAGATGGAACCGAAAGGAACCAGAGGATAACTGTGGAACCCCAAGCGAGAACTTACAACAATTTTACTAAAGGTCTGTTTCTAGCGTTTAAAAGTTTCAGACAATAAATGATAATTGACAATGTCTAAATGTTCTTTAAAGAATCTAAAATAAACATTGCTTTATGTCTAGTTTTTGTTCGAAGGATATCGGTATCGTAATTATCATAAAGAAATTGTTCGCCAGTGTACAGAATTAAAAACTATTCAAACTTTTTTTCACTACAAGTAATTCAAAATAGTAATAAAAACCCCCGGCCAAGTTTTGTTGTGGTTTGATCGTGGAGGTTCCATGGGACAGCCCACGAATTCGCCATGGATACATGTAGGTTGTCCCGTCCCGCCATCATATGGGGAGCCTGCTTAACTGCGCGTTCTCACCATTTGGAAAAATAAAGCAGTTCTGCCGATATATTGAAAATCTAATGCCTAAGGAGTGAAAATAGAGTTCTACACTAAAAAGTTATTAGAAAACCACGAAGTATCGTGTTTAATACCAACCTCTTGGTAAGCTTTAACGAACTTGTCTAAAATGACGACACCATCCTGCTTTATGAGAGTATCAATCAGTAATCTAGAAAGAATGAATATTCCTGCTTAAATATTTGTGTACATAAATTAATGCGGAAGACGGTACCATCATGCCAAATATTAATGAGGCATTTAGCTGCATATGCATGCACATTAACATTATGCCGTATTAATAAATAAATATTAAAATCCTTCTTAAATTCCAATCGCGAGAAAGTTTGAGTCGCGAGAAAGTTTGCTCCACACTTAGCTTGCCAAAACATTGATACGAAACTTTGCGATCTTTTCATATGCCACTCAATTGTATAACATTTACGAGTAATAATTGTAAGTTTGCAAAGGGCAACCAAGAAGACACTTGTACATTACCACGATGATTATAACTATTTGCCGTGTATGGAAACCGTCCGTATATAAGGGTCTGTGCATACACACGTAAAAAATCTCGCAACTTCTCAACAAGATGTCTTCATAACAGACTCGTAGTAAGCTTGTCAACAACTTGTATCAATATTTGTGAGTTCATATTATGTTTTCGGTTGCTACTCTGTTTTTTATAAATGAATGCAAAGCTCAGTCGAATTGCATTCACGACCCAACCTTTCGACACTCCTGTCCAGTATCTTCATGTCTGGCACTAGACTGGATTGTCGAAACGTTGGTCGTGAATATAATTCGACTGTGCTTTGCATTTTATAAAAAAAAACAGAGTAGCGAGCAAAAGTATGACTGAAGTTGTATCAATGTTGTCGTTTTATCAAGTTGCGACAAAATTGTCAGTCACAACTTGTTGTTGAATTGCAGAACTTGTTGAAGCGACACAGGTATATTCTCATCAGCTCCTCAACCGCCGAGAGTCCATTGAGCCCCTATAGAGTCCATCGAGCTAACGAAGAGTTCATGTATACTAGTGTCTTCTCAGTTTGCTTAATAAAGTTAAATACCCTTTTACCATTGATATCATTCCAATCAAAATTTGATTAAAGAACTCAATTCAAATAATGTTATCGAGTAAAAGAATTAATGTATCATTCATTATATGCCAAAGCAAACTGTATTTCCTGTTATAATATACCTTACTTGTAAGGACTAGGCCTAAATCATTTAGCTTGAAAAATGTCATTATTGATTTCTAAGGCTAATTAAGCACCTTTCTTTACTGTAATGTATATGAGTCATTTTCACTCCAAAAGAGTCAAACTGACTTCAAATGTGGGGTAAATAACAAAGGTACAGAACGATTCCTTTTTGGGAGCAAATTTATTCCTCTTTTTACTCCTTTTTTTTTGGAGTAAGTTTTACTGCTTAAGTAGAGTTGTTTTTACTCTTCAAAGAGTACAGTACTAATCTGCTGGAGCTTTGTGCGTTTTTACAAGTATACAAGTATACGGCATGCATGTAGACTGTGTGACGTCAGCATTCTTCTCACCTGATATCCTGTTGTCTTATATATGAATATTCATAAGTATACGTATTTGATGGCTCATAACGTTCCAAGATCAGTAATATTCGACGTAAGTCATCCTTGCTCAATGAATCAATATCTTCTTCCGTGATAGATGCTCGACCATATTTCGACAGGATATTAAATGTCTACAAAATAACAAAAGCGCTATTAGCGTCGTTTAAATAAACGCGCCGTTATATTGAGGTGAATTAGTTGTTGGGCCATTAAAATCTAATTACATTTGCACGAATCTGATCTCCATGAGAAACATCGTTTATGTCGGGTTATAGAGTTGAAATACTTTATTTACCTAATTTACCTTACATTAAATCATTTAAATGGAATATATATTTTAAAGTACGACATAATTAAGCGTTGACCTGCATGTGTAAACTGGACTTCTATTTGAGAATGTGACACAGTCGACAACGAAGGAAAGAACGTCTGATAGCTTTATATCGTAACATGCATTTTGTAAAAAGGACTTGTTAAAAACCATCATTAAATGCATGATTGGCGATTATTGGAACAAAGGAGTTATTTGCTTCAGCGAATAATCAATTTATTGCTTCCGTGGGAATTTTGTAGGGATATTTAGGGATTCGGGGTAGCACGCAGAATGGGGCTATGGAGGGAACCTGGCAGGGAAACTCGTTCAACCAGTTTTATTTCCCGTGGAATTTTGCAACACATCAGTGAATTTCCATGTCACGCTTCACGTGCATCTTGGGCCTACTATATAAAAACGCTCAGCGTTAACAGCTCAAGGTCATTCACCTTTGGCTTCACAAGGCAAGTTTTCAAGTCCTCCTCACAAGTTTTCCTTTCTGCATAAAGGTATCGTACCGCTTGTTTATAGTATATTTCAATATGAATGGTTCAATACCACAGATTTTAGTTTTTGGCCAACTCGTTTGTTCGCCGTTTGCGGGATGACTTGGTTAGTCATTTTGATTCCCGTGCGAAACAAAATTTCAACTTGGCTTCGTCAGCAGGCGTCTATTTGCACGACATAGGCGGTCGTACGGTTGACAAGGTCTTTCAATACGACTTGCCTTTTCTTAAGAGTCAACATACGGACATTATTATTTTGGAATTGGGCATTAATGACTTATCCTTTTTGTCTCCGGAGGCGGTGGGCTCACATTTGGAGGATTTTATAGTTGCACTGTTACGGGATAATTTGCATGTTAGCGTTGTGTCGCTGTGTGTCAGGTGATTGACCGTTATTTACCGCATTCACAAACGCCTTACACGGTATTTAATACTAAGGCGGCACTTTTGAGACAGTATTTATATGTGGTAATGGACAATATGCCTGGTGTTTTCTTGTGGGAACATCGCGCATTTTGTAAAGCTGGCAAAAATTTGCTGTCCTTAGATGGGGTGCACGCTAACCCCCATGGACAGTTTAGCTTATATAAAAGCTATCGAGGGGCGATCTTGAAGGCTCTCTCGCTTTTACGTTAATGTGTCATGCACAGGAATTTACCAGCTTTTCCCAACTACAAGTTTTTTGCATTGTTTCCTAATTTTGGTAATAATTTTTGGCCAATACTTATAAATATTATGTTTGATGACTTTATGGCCATATATGTACTTGTTGTACTATACATATTGATTGTTATATGCTGATTTGTTCAATAAAGTTTGTTGCCATCTTTGGATAGCCTTCATTGATGGCAGGGTTATCACCCTGGGCTTGATGGCAGGGTTATCACCAAGGGATCTATGAATATTTGGGTGTGCACACATGGTTATGGCTGTTGTGACCCCTGTTGAGCATTCAGCAATTATATTCAGCTGGGAGGTAGCCATTCATGAAACAAGTGGCTTGGCATAGATGGTAAATCTGTCCAGTTTGTTGATGTTGTTTGTTTTATGGTATTTATATGTTGTGTTATTTCTGCATTGGTTTTACAGTCATGTTCTGTCTTTGAATATATGTGCTTCTTAGCATAAATTTAGGCCACTGTTGCTTTTCTTCTGAATGTATGCCTACATGGGACAGGATTGTTATTCCAGGTGCCCATAGCTGGATTCAATATACAGTGGGTTGCTATCATGTTGTTAAGTGCTTTTGCCCAGTTGTGTGTTCGGCTACCTTTGTGGTATGCCATGCTCAATAAAACTTGTGTTGTCCATTAACGATTGGATTATTTGTTATTGTCACTTGTGTTTACATGTCATTGTCCGATACAGGACTACTTACTCCTAGATGTGAGGGTTTGAATATATATGTTGTTTACGGGTGCTTGTTCTAGTTTCTCTTTAGACTATGCCGGTCACCCGTCCCAGCACCAGAATACAACGGCATGCCCAATCGAAACCTTGGTCTCGACGCGCATCCAGCAATGTTCAAGCAAGGGAACCAGCTCCTCCCATGGCTACAGCTGCGTCTTCTCAGGCAACTTCATCGGCTGCGACAGCTGTCTCGGATCTCGCGGGTGCAACCTTAACAGGGATTGCATCTGTGGTTGCCCAGGCAGTCGTTGCGGCCATACAGTCACCAACTCCTTCTACGGTTGTTGACACCATGGAGGTACCCCTTAATGGTCGCCCTGGGACTGGTGCCCAAGTGCAGGGGCCAGTGGCATCAGCCGTAGAGCACCTCACAGGTGAGAATGTTAATCTGGAGGTTGTGCGTCCATCATCATCTGGCTCCCATGTTCAGTTTAATTCCATTACCATCCCGATTGATGCTCAGATCAGTCCCAAAATAAAGACTAAGATTTGGGCGAATGAGTTTATTGAGTTTGGTTCACTATTGAACCCCTATGTGGGTGAAACAAGATATCAGCTTTCATTGGCACAGAGTGAGAGTTCGGTGCCAACACTTTCATTAGAGCCATCCTCTAAGATTAAACCCATATACAACATTGATGCGTGGACATCAGCCTTCCAGATTTTTGTTGGGGTCTACACGAGTAAATTTCCTCAAGAAGCTCCCGATTTAATGAAATATGCGGAGGTTGTGCGAGATTTGGCTGCACGAGGAGCAAATTGGAGATTTTATGACACTCAGTTTCGATCGCTACGACAAACAAGAGCACATGAAATGCCTTGGGGCACAACTCATTTTGAGTTGTGGATTCGTGCACAGAGTTTTGCACATATTGCTCCGGCTCGGTCAAATATTGCACAACCTTCTGGGCGTACCCCGAAGTTGGGTCCATTTGTCCCAATTGGTTTCTGCTGTGCATTCCATAAGGGGGTTAAGTGCACAGGTTGTTCTTACAAGCATACCTGTTTTAAGTGTGGAGCTGCGCACTCCGCTAAAAGCTGTAATTTTCGTCCCTCAGGCAGAACCACCATTACAAAACCAGCAGCAGGTGTGCGCACTTCCAACCCCAATAAAAATTGATCGCCTTTTGCCTCTGTTACAAGGATATGTTGTCAAAGTTGTTTTAATGTTGTTTGAGGGTTTTACCTATGGGTTTCCGCTTCACTTTGAGGGTGGTCACACCTCTTTTTGTTCAAAAAACTTGATTTCGGCAAATCAAAACCCTGGAGTTGTCGGTGCTAGATTTGCGAAAGAAATTGTGGCGGGTCGCATTGTAGGCCCCTTCCCCCCCCCCCTTTTCAATTTCCGTGTTTCACCTTTGGGAGTTGTGCCTAAGAAGATTCCAGGCGAGTTTTGGCTTATTCACCACTTATCTTTTCCACGAGGGGCGTCCATCAATGACGGCATTTCGCCTGAACACACTACTGTTTCTTATAGTTGTGTGGATGATGCAATTTCCATTATACAAAAATTAGGTAGAGGCTGTTTTTTAGCTAAAACGGACATAAAGAGTGCTTTTCGCATTATACCCATTCGTCCAGCGGATTCAGTGGCGCCGTGGCCGGGGGGGGGGGTGCATGGCCCCCCTATTGTTGAGACCCGTCGGAACATTGCCAATGTTGTCGGAAATTGTCGGGAAATTGTCAAGGTTGTAGGAAATTGTCAAAGTTGTCGACGGGGAGGGACATTGTGAAGATTTAAATGTTGTAATCGGAAAAATTTAGTTTGTCGGAAAAATTTTCGGTTTGTCGGAAAAGTACTGCCCTTGCCCCCCCCCCCCCCCCAAAAAAAAAAGAACATGGGTCCTACGACGCCACTGAGCGGATTACCCTCTGTTAGGTATCATGTGGCAGGGAAAGTATTATTATGATAGAGCCATGCTCATGGGATGTGCATCTTCCTGCCGCACATTCGAAATATTTAGCACTGCTCTTGAGTGGGTTGCTAAAACTAGGTGTAACATTCCACATCTTATTCATATCCTTGATGACTACCTAATGGCAGCCGCATCCTACGTGTTGCACTGCCTTGAGAGTATTTGGGGGTGCCAATCGCTCCTGAGAAAACGGTCGGCCCTTCCACAATTTTGACTTTTGCTGGCATCGCGTTAGACACGAATACAATGGAAGCTCGTTTACCAGCTGACAAAATATTGAAAACGCGCAGTAATCTTTCCGAATTTCTTTGCCGTCGAAAGGCAACCTTAAAAGAGGTTCAATCTTTGATTGGTCTGCTTAATTTCGCTTGTACTGTCGTACCACCGGGTCGGGCTTTTCTGCGGCGTCTCATTGATTTAACTAAAGGTGTTAATGCCCCCTTTTATCGTATCCGTCTAACAAGGTCAGTTAAAGCAGATTTAGGCCTTTGGAAATCCTTTCTGGATGGTTTCAATGGCCGGTCGTTTTTTCTTTCCGATGATTGGCTCCCTTCCCACCTTTTGAATTTGTATACTGATGCCGCTGCGGGTCGTGGTTTTGGAGCTATACTTGGCAACTTTTGGTTTTATGGGCCTTGGCCTGAGGAATGGAAAAAACTCAACATTGTGGTTTTAGAGTTTTTTTCCAATTGTCCTCAGTGTCCACTTATGAGTGTCCTCAGCGTCATCGCATGCATGCGAAACCAACGCATACTATTTTACACGGACAACGTAGCATTGGTCGAGATCATAAATAAGACTTCTTTACGGGATCCCACTGTGATGATATTTGTCCGTCGGCTGGTTCTAGCTTGCTTGAAATTTAACATTTTATTTCGTGCTAAGCATGTTCCAGGTGCCAAAAATACTTTGGCTGATGCTTTGTCACGTTTACAGGTTTCGAAATTCCGCGAACTGGCGCCGGCGGGCGTGCAGATTTATCCCTCGGTGATTCCCGCCCAGCTTCTTCTACACAGTTGGCAGATATAACTTCTACTCTGCTACGAGCGAGTTTGCAGCCATCGTCAGTTCCGCCGTTCCCCGCGCGTTATTTACTAAGTTTCTATCAATGCTTTTTCGCGGCTGTGGTCTTGATACCATGAAGTATAAAGGCCACAGTTTCCGTATTGGCGCAGCCACTTTTGCGGCAGAGTGCGGTTTTTCTGATGCCCAAATTCGTGCTATGGGGCGCTGGCGATCCGATGCATTCCTCAAGTATATTCGCATACCAAGCTTAAGTTCGGCTTCGTCTTAATTGCGACTGACTGTGGCTGCATTCTTGTATTGTGAGGCAAACGGTTTGTAGTAGGCCCAAATATACGTCTAGTTAATGAATAGCACATTTAACGCATGATAACACTCGTCTAGCTGATGCAGGGGCTAGGCTAGCGAGGCTTTGTTAAGGATTGATCAGGTTTCAGCTTGTGTAGTTTTTATAAGGTACTTTGTTGCCCATCCCTGTGCTGATGCGGGGGCTAGGTTCATGGTCGGCTTCAGAGTTCTAATTTACTGTCAGTGCCATACGTCTATTATTAAATTTATACGTTCAGTAGTGGTATTTTAGGTCACATTCTTATGAGACTTCGCTGATTATTAATTTTGTGATATCACGAGTGGCCGTTTGCCTTGCTTTCCCGATTTATATCAATTTTGTCCATCGGCTCTGGCGGCAATTTCTCTACCTGATGGGGTGGGGTGCCTCCTTATAGTCGGCTTGTGGCGTTTTTTAACACCCCACCTTTTCTGTGCTATGCATGAATACTAAATTTGTAACATTTATCTGTAATTTGTTATTTTTGTGTTAATCATTAAATCGGCATTGTGCTCCTGCACATTGCCATTATTTTATCCAGAACGTTGTACTGTCATTGATCTTTTGCATGCAGTCCTTCGCACAGAAAACGGAGCTCATCAGGCTGATAAATTGCCGCTAAAGTTTAGGTTATGGATTGCTTGCTACCGCGGAAGCGTTAAATCAACGATAAATATTAGCAGTTAAAGATGAGAAGTACATTTATTTACTGGTACATGTATCTACACCCAAAACCAGAAAAAAGCAAAACCCAATATTTATTTTCAAAATACACTCAATTTGAAAATGTATTCGTATTTTAGGGACCAAACTAAAACTCAAAAATATATACAACAAAGGAAATTTAAAAAAGAAACAGTGGCTCAAACAAAGTTGAGGCAGCAGAATAATAGTTTAATCACTAGCATTATGTACTGTATAATAAGTTTGCAAATATTTTAGTATTGCATTTATTTTTTAAAATTATACCTTTACACTATCAGTTTTGAATGAAAATTTTTGAAAAACGTAAAATTTCGATTAAATTAACATACCGAAAAAGTCTTCCACGAATTCCAATTTGAGAAAGCCTTTTATGCAATTGCCTAATATTCATATCGGTATTGTAAAATGCTGTTAGCGAACTTAAGCCAGGCTTACTATAGTACGGGAACGCGACAAGAAAATGAGAAATAGCCTTAAACTTTACACTTTTGAAATTATAAAGAACTACTGTCTTAGTACTGTTATTAAGAATGTCAACAGGCCAAACGAAAGTGCAACGAAAACGGCTAATAATATACATGAATACAAAAAATGAACAGAAATGAACAATTAAACTCCCAAAGGGAGTCGCCGTGGCGTCACGGCGATTTACTCGTCGCCGTGGCTCTGTTTAAAAGGGCGAAATGCAGATTATCACGTCTTGTGAACGCTTACATGTCAAGCTTGGACAACTGCTACTTTCAATTGGGTCCTAGAACTTTTCACAATCATTAACCCTGTGTTAACCTGAACCTGCAACCTGTATTATTTTGTATACGATGGATAATAGACGATGAAGTAATTGTTAAGCGTTTATAATCAACAATATTACGCGCAGTATCTTACTTCTTCTGCAAAAGATTCAGTGTTTGTCTTCCAATGAATAAATTTCTGGAAAAAAAATCAAATAATAATAATTAATTAAATTGAAATTAAACGCTTCTAATATACAGTATTTCGCACATATATATATATATATATATATATATATATATATATATATATATATATATATATATATATATATATATATATATATATATATATATATATATTCGTTTTACCTCAAAAAACCACAACAGTCTGTTTCATCCGTATAGGAATCAT